CAAGACTGAACTATTTAGAAAGAGTTTTAATGTAATTAGATCTGCCTGGGCTGATTCCACACAAACGGGGTTTTCTGTGGTTGTTCCATGGTGGTCATGTTGCCAGTGTGATTGCCACTCGATTCACATTTGCAACAGAGATTCCACACAGCATAGGGTAATCAATTTTTTCACCCTTGTTAGCCATGGTTTCTCTTTCTCACCATCTGGGGATTGCAGCACACACACCCCACTATCATCATGCTTCCTCACCCACATTTTTTTAAAAATTGGTGCATGTGTAGCTCTGCTCAAGAATAGCACAATATTCAGCACTGTACTTTTAAAAAAATACTGTGCAATTTCATAGGGCTGTGACAAATGAACACAATATTTGAATCCTTTGGTAATGCTAATTGCTGGAAGGTACTAGGAGTCCCACTGCAGTCCTTTACACTGAAAAGGCTAATTGGCTGACTCCTGCTTTTCAAATGCTAATTGAGAGAATGGAGAGAAATACTGGCCGTTTGTATTGTTGTAATATCTTATCAGAGCTAGGATGCTGGCGTGCCCTTCTCAAAGTAAAAAAAACAAAACAATTTTGTTGGTGTCAGCAATGACACCAAGGCAGTTCTGTGTAAATGCAGAGGAAGGGGCTATTTCCTGTCATCCAGACACAAGGTGTACCTTCTGTCCTGGACAAATGGAAAAGCTTGTCCCAACAGGGCCATGCCGGTAAAATCTTTTTTTCCGGATTTTTAAAAAGACGTCTTTAGCCAAAAAATGGGCTGTTAACAATTTGTGCAGGAATGGAGAATGACATCATGTAAAAATAAAAAAGGAGGCTACGTGATTGGAAATGGATTTCTCTGTGTTTAGTCGGAAGATTGTCATATCTGTATTCTCTCTGTGTCTCTCTCTCTGTCTGTCTCTCTCTCTCTCTTGTTTCCTAGTTTTTTGTCACCTGCCTTGAGTCCCCCAGGACTGAGGTGGCATAGAAATGTTTTAAATAGTTCAGTTCAATTAACCTTTATTGGCATAAAGATGTTTTAAATAAACGAAGGAGACACGTGCAAGAAAAGCAGCCTTTTGTGCATGTGTCACTTGCTGAACCAAATGTCCCATCCAAATGCAGGACGGGTGCTGTCTACTGCATTTCAGTTCTTTCAGTGGCATGCTCACTTGAATATGCCACCAAAGGCATATCCCAATGGAGATGGGAACACACATTTCACTTTATTAAAAGCAGTTCTGTCTGTTTATATTTGGATGTACGAGTACGTTCGGCTGATACTTAGTGGACTGATTCACTGTTCCATTAATAATAATTTGAGTACGTTCGGCTGATACTTATCGTGGACTGATTCACTGTTCCATTAATAATATTGAATTCCTTTGAGGCACAAAATGTAAATATTGTCTTTTTCATTCTTGGGGGGGGGGGGGGGTAGTGGCACAGTGGTAGAGCATCTGCTTGGCATGCAGAAGGTCCCAGGTTCAGTCTCCAGTATCTCCAGTTAAAAGATCTGACAGTAGGTTCTGTGAAAGACCTTTGCCCGAGACCTTGGAGAGCTGCTGCCAGTCTGAGTAGACAATACTGAATTTGATGGACCAAGGGTCTGATTCAGTATAGGGCAGTTTCATGTGTTCACGAGACGATTGGCCCCGTAAACATTGCTGCTGTTAAAATTCCACTGTTTTAAGGGCTTGAAACACCATTTTATGTGAGAAGTTGTAAAACAGGATTAACTCCAATTTCTTTCTTTTGTTTTGCATTTGAGCATGTGAAGAGATTAACTTCATTCTGAAATGTTACCTAAAACAGACTACAGAGCAATTTTCTGATTTTAAATCTTCTCCAAGGCACAAACTGACATAACTGAGAGAAGTGTATTCTGATAGGAATAATGAAAGTTTAATGCCCTTGCGCACATGGATTATTTGTGTTATTACTGAAGTTACACTATTCAAAAGACTCTGGAAAGTCCAAAGCCACCAGTCCCAAATACTCAACTAGAATAGATAATTGGAAATTATAACATTACTTACTAAAACGTAAGTCTACTCGATACTTTCAAATCCATTTGAAAGGAAGATAAAACTCTTTGCATGTGAACTGCTAAGGTCTCTTTGTGCTGGAAATGGAAATTAATATGTTTATAGTTCTGCAAACCAGAGGTCATTTCGGGGGGGAACACGGGGGATCGCAGTTCCCCCAGGTGAGGTACAGGGGGCGGGGCACATGACGAAGCCCCGCCCCCTGCTTCCGGCCGCCCCGCTTCCGGCCCTCATTCAGCCAGGAGGAGGCAGGAGAAGAGGGAGGGTAAGTTGCTTCCTCCCTGCCTCTCCCCACCCCTGCCTGCCTGGGGCCAGGGAGGGCCTTCGCGGGGCTTCCTCGCACTCCTGCAAGGCCGGCGGCGGCCGGGACCGTTGGGGGCGGGGTGTGTGGCCTTATGACACACTTCCGGTGATGTCAGGGGGTGTGGCATATGCTAATGAGTTATGCTAATGAGTTCCCCTAGCTCTTTTTCTACGAAATGACCCCTGCTGCAAACACACAGTCTGATGGCCTCTAGCAACAAGATAGAGCTTTGAGAGGAGCTTCCAAGTAAACAGAGAACAATGGTATGGGTTCATTCTTCCTTAAAAAGCCAGTCTCCTTAAAAAGCAAGTACTTCTTTACAGAGGAGCAGTTCAGATGAGAGCAAAAGCACTGCACAAATAGTTCCAAGTAGTTATTGCCAAGGCTGCTTTAAAATTTGTTCATAATATACCTTTACCTTGAGGCAGTGATTAATCAAAACCTATTTAACCGGCACTGATTTATCTTATGTCTACAGAAAATATTTAGGAATTCAGACAACTCAAAGTTGCTTGCAGGGTTAAGAAACATCATTTTTGGGGAAGCAGAGGCTATTGGGAAAACAAGATTCAGAGCATGTGATACTTTCATATTTCATCTGGTTATATTACTTCCTCATGAGTTCTAAAAATGAAAATATAACCCCCGGAGTCCACAAAGGCCTACCACCATCTTTACAGATGAACAAAAGGCCCTACTACGAGTCTAATGGAGTCTGGAGACTGACATCACCATTGTGATGTTAACATAGGATTCATTTATAGCAGAGGTGTCAAGCTCATTTGTTATGAGGGCCGGATTTGACATAAATTGGACTTTGTCAGGCCGGGGCATGTGTGTCATAAAATGTAATGCCAGGCAGCAGAGATATAAACCTTATAGACACAGACAAACACAGTTAAAGATATTACAGCAGCTGTTCCATTGGAGCCTCACATTAGGACGGGGTGTGTGTGTGTGTGTGTGTGTGTGTTAAAACTAATATTTCTCTGCAAAACTGAAGTTCCTTGAGTTTGTTGAACTCTATATTTTAACTGTGGTTAGTCCCAAACCTCCCCCCCCCAAAAAAAATAAACTACAAATATAAATGGTCTGAGCCTAGGACCCAGGGGAAGAACATGAAATGGCTGAGCATTGCAAGCTTCTTCCCCCCCGCCCAAGGTCTACTCAGAGTGGCAGTGGCTCTCCAGGGTCTCAGGGGGTATTTTACAGGGTGGTTTGAGATAATAATTTTGGGTGAACTCTTCAGCACTTCTTCTGTTATTATTCCATTGGAGCTCCACATTGGGAGGGGGAGAGAGTGAGTTAAAACTAATATTTCTCAGCAAAACTGGAGTCCCTTAGTTTGCAGAACTCTATATATTAACCCTGGCTGGTCCCAAATCTTCCTCCCCCTTAAAAATATAAATTACAAATATAAATAGTCTGAGCCTAGGACCCAGGGCAAGAACATAAAATGGCTGAGCATTGCAAGTCCCCCCCCAGGTCTACTCAGAGTGGCAGTGGCTCTTCGGGGTCTCAGGGTTTTTTTTACAGGGTAGTTTGAGATAATAGTTTTGGGTGTCCTCTTCAGCAGTTGTTCTGCTATTATTCCTTTGGAGCTCCACATTAGGAGGGTGTATGTTTAAAACTAATATTTATCTGCAAAACTGGAGTCCCGTGAGTTTGCAGAACTCTGTATTTTAACCCTGGCTGGCCCCAAGCCCTTAAAATCTGCCTGCCTAAATTGGAAAGGTGGGGGAATAGTGGGATTTTACAAAGCAATTTTTAAAACAAAACAGAAGCACAAGGATCACAGCAGAAGGACCTGTGAGGAGGACTATGGAGACCAGGAGTGGTGGCTGGGAAGTTTGGCAGCCCCACCCTCTGCTTTCTACTCTCAGAGGCAGCCCTGCCACGTGCTCTCTATACTCTGAGGCAGCTCAAGCTCCGAACAGCGAGGATGGGCAGGGGAGGGGGAGAGAAGAGAGCCCCACTCCCGGGCCGGATTAAAGTCCTGGGTGGGACGGTTCTGGCCCGCAGCCGTAGGTTTGACACCCCTGATTTATAGTATAGCTGTCAGTAGAATAAACAGGAAGAGTTTTGTGAACCATTCCAACATTTATTGGTGCTGCAATAGGCAAAAGTCTACTATTATGAGGTATAGGCCAGGATCCAAAGTGATGGATCCTGTGCTTTTTGTCCACTGAGGATTTTCTGGCTCCCTTTCCCACTACAGTGTCTTGTACGCCCCTCTCCAAAATGCTACCTGTGAGTGCATCCTACTTGCACACAGGCCTCTTGAGAGCCTAGACACTATATTGAAACTCCTGGGGTTTTTTTCAACTATACCAAAACCTAGTATTGCTCTTTAAGGAAGTACAAGTATGTATAGTACAAATCTGTAATACCTTACAATAAAGTAGGTAATTTGGTAGCATAGGTTTGAAATATTGACGTTCATTGGCCAAAAGAAAAAAGAATTCCTCGTGACCACTGGGATGTCTAGTTGTTGTTGAACAGCAGCCTCCTTTTTTGAAAGTATCCCAAATGTATATCAAAAGTTATCAAAGGGATGCTGCTGTCTGGTAAACAGCAGGACTAGTTATGCGGTTCTTCAGATGCTAGCAAATGATAATTGCTTTAAAATGCAGTTGTTTCTGTGACATTTCTTTTTCAGAAAGAAGATGTTCAAGATGAGAACATGGCTGAAAAGCTCTGCATTCGAAAGAAACGCTTTATGGAGTTTGCTTCTGTGCAGTATGATGGAGAGTATTACATGACTCCGAGGGACTTCCTGTTTTCAGTGATGTTTGAGAAACCAAGGCGTAAGTTGCCAGTTACCATTCATACGACACTGTTGAATGAATGACTGTGAAACAGCAAGATTACTGTGTGTCCTATATTCTCCATCTCATCGTATTTGTGCATTAGCTTGGAATGTGGCTATCTGAAATTACACTATCTTGATGGAATTACTTTTCATAAGAAGTTCATTTTCATGTTCTTTAACACTGGTATCCTTAGATTAGTTATTACTACTGAAGGTACATAAAAATCACTAAATTTATGGACAGGCTGTAAAGAGCTACTGTACCCAAGTTCTGTGGTGCGTTCTACATTATGTTTGCTTTTGCTTTTGCTTTTTGGTCAGCATATCTCCATGCCTTGCTACAAAGTGCTTATAAAATTCCACTCAGTTCCTAAAGACATTTACCATGCTGCAGAAAGGGATGCTGGTTGAGAAACACAAGTCCAGACCCTCCCTTGGGCACACGGAACTAGTTGCATGGTTCTTAGACCTGAATCCAATGTAAATAATTAATGCCATTACCAGTATATTTAATAGTATACAATTCATTATTCATTCTCAATTTCCTGTGAGGCCTGGGTTTGCCAGTCCAAACAGTGCTGGATATTTTAGTTTAACAGTTTCATCAAATCTATCCGTAAGAAGCACTTAGTTCATTAAATAAATACTTCGCGGCAGACGATCACCCTCTCTGTTGTACCTGCTCATGCTACCGATGCAGCTGATGGAATTGAAGAGTTTAGGGGGAGAAGGCATTTTTTTCTCATGTTTAGAATGGCTGTTTTGAAAACAAAGTAATTTTTAAATTTTTATATGTTTATTGAAACCATTGCTGCGCCACCTTCCCACCAAAACAGAGTCCGCAAGGCGGAGAACTTTAGAACAGCATTTATTTATGTTATTTACAGTCTGCCTTTCTTATTGGGGCTCAAGGCGGATTACACAGACTGAGTCAATAGTATCAACAAAACGGGACATTCAGTAAATGATGAAACAGGGGGGAATTTCAGACAGGCGCTATCTCCCGGTAGGGAACCGATTCTCAACCGGGTTCTGGTCTGTCATTTCAGACAGAACCCGGTTGAGAATCGGTTCCCTACCGGGATCTACAAAGCGGTGTGTGTGTGAAACGCCGAACCGCTTGTGAATCGGCTCCTTTCCGGTAGGGGCAAGCCGTGTGTGAAACGGCAGCCCTGTACCGGTTCATCTGGAAACGGAAGACTCCCGGCTTGAAACCGGGAGAAGACTGGTAATGTGAAATTCCCCAGGATTTGGGTTGTAGAGCTAATCAGAAGTCTAAAAAAGGGAGCTGAAGCAAATCGTAAGTGTTAACATGACACGTTAAACGATGCAGAATTACACAGTAGGATCCAACCCACAGCAAACTATATGAAGTAGTACAGACCACAGTCCCCAATAATTTACCCAATTAACTTTAAGCCATTTGTTCAGTGCTACCCTATCACCTGGGTAGAAGAGCCCTCTTGAATAACTAAGTCTTGCATAGTTTATGGAAGGTGGAGTGTAGGAGCCTTCCTGACCTCATCAGATAGACCATTCCACAAGGTGGGGGCCACAAGGGAGAAGTTGTCGATTTTGCCCATTTATAAAATAATTCAAGAAAAAAACATACAAAGCCAAGAAGGAGAGCCAATAACAGTTATTGAGGGTATGCCAAACAAAATAAAGTCTTCACCCACCAGTAGAAGGTTACGATAGAGGGAAACAGACAGATCTTCCTCTCTTAGCTGTCTGTTATGCTAGTACTGCTAATAGAAGAAGACTTTTACATACTGGGAAATGCATCTAAACCTAGAAGGTGAATTCCCTGGAGAACTTCCATGAGTGGTTCCACGTCTTTATCTGATCAAAGCCTTCTGAAGGTGCCACCATGCAAACAAGACTGGCAACCGTCCGTTCATGTGCATTCTCTGTGTGGTGGCTCCTCCATTATGGAATGTTCTGCCTGAGGCTCAGGAGGGCATTCTTATAGTGTGAGCTGTGGTGTAATGGACCAGATCAGGAACTGACTTATTTTAGGAATAAAGTTTCCCTGCATTAATTGTCTTGATGCCTTAGACCATTATGTTTGCTTGAATCCACTCCCCCAGTTCTTCAGTCATTGCCTCGTTGCATTATTTTGTGTGAAGAGGAATCTTTGCTGTTAGATACAAATGTTGACATATTTTGAAATCCGTTTGCTGGTTGACTGCATAGTTTTTATCATACTTGTAATCTGCCTTGAGTCCCATTGACTATAAATAATAATAATAACTATCATCATCATCTTGTGTGCATATCAGAGTTAATGAACCCATAATAAGCTCTCAAAAAAGGTACAAAACTCTAAAACCGTTCCAATGGTATTAAATCAGATTTGAACCTGCAGTCTAAAATATAATCTGCAATTTACAAAATTACCCGCCAAAGCTCTGCACGAAGAGGTGAATCTTCAGGATCCTCTTAAAAGCATCCAGATCTTAAAGCCTGGGAGTTGAGAATGGATCCACAGCAGAACATGACTGCTAAGAGATAGCCGCTAGTTTAATACAAGGAGGCACAACAACAGATTATCTGATGCTGATCTCAGTGAGCATAAAGCAATACAGGAGAGAACATGCTCCCTCAAATATTCCTGGTGAAGACCATAAAAAAGGTAAGTACCTGTATCTTGAATTCAGTCCAGAAGACTAGGGGATTGATACAGAATGGGGGTTTATGTGCTTTCTTTGGCTCACACTAGAAATCAAACTGGTTGCTGCCCTCTGGACCAGCTGCAGCTTCCAAGCGGCCTTCAGAGTCAGCCCCACAAAGAGTATGTTATTGTAATCCAGCTACCTAGTAACCTGGGCATACACCACACTGGCCAAATTGTTACGTTCCAAGAAGTACCATAGTGGGTGAATCAGCCAAAGTTGTTGAAATAAGTTCTTGGCGCCACTGCTTTAACCTGGGACCCGGGGGGGAATATCTGGATCCAAGTGCATTCCCCAACTACAAACCTGATCTTTTGGGAAGGTGTGATGAACCATCTAAGATGAGCATTTCCACCACTACACCAGTCCTAGGACTAGTTTATTGATCAAACAGACATTTGGATCACTATTCTGAAATAGAATACATGCCCTTTCTGGTGGATTGGATTTTCATTTTCTTTTCTCCTGGGGAACAGGAAAGGAAAATATATGTGACTGGGATTTATAGTTCTCATTTGCATAGTGTTCTTCTACCTAAAAAATAGGGAGAAAAGTGTCAAGACGTGGAAATTTCTGCTCTATTCAGGGAGAGAATTAGCACTCTTTTTCTTTTTCTCCCTTTAGCATTACAACCTTATCACTAATGATTATGGTAATTTTTTTGTAGTTAAAGAGATTCCTTTCCCCTGAATTTCTCCTGACAGCTGTAAGCCTGCTCCAGCTTCATGGAAATGTGTGCAAGCACACGCTAGTTTAATTTATTACCATTGCTGTGCTAATCCCACACTGATGTCAGATTCATTCTGAACATTCGTGGAGGGAGATGATAGATGGCAAATGTCTATTGTTGAATATTTATGGGGCAAAAAGACCACACCTGCTAGAGAGGGGCTAAAATAGCTGCTCCGGTGGGTGTGTATGTATGTCTATAGTGGTGGCTGTTAACCAGCTCTGATTGTCTTGGCCTCTGTGGGAAGGAATTTTTGTTTGCCTATCTAGCCCTAACATTTAATATAGCTTTACTTATAAATTTAAAATGGCCCTTTGCCTGTCACAAGATGAGCCTCTACCTGGTTGCTCAGACATTCTGCTCTATATTGTTTAAAAACTACACAACAGAACCTGAGAGAAGTGGGGAGGTTTTGAAAAACGTTAAGTTTTTTCTGAGCCAAAATTCCATCACAGGCTTGGAAGACCTGCGGACTTGAAGGAGTTTCCATTCTTTCATGCTCGTAATAATAAAAATTCAGAACTGTGTTTTAAAAGCATTAAGGGTTATGTTACTGTTGTAGACAAGTTTCATCATCTTTGCTGTCAATTTGCATTAGTAAAAGTATACAGAGTGAAAACTGATAAAACTGTAGAAAAGTGGAGTCTTATGCTTACCCAGATGTATTTGCTGTGTCCCCAGAAGCTTTCCAAGACTATAAGCTGATTCCTTGTAAATACTGTAAACCTGCAAGTTTGATAGTTTTTTCATGCTCAATAGGTTCAGGAGGTAGAGAGAGACAGAAACGGGTAGTGCAAGAGTTTGTTAACCCAGATTGAAATTCACTTTTTTGCACATTTTGTAGCAGCCTCTTCGATTTTGGACTGCTCTGTGAAGTTTGATTGTTTGTTTATTAAAATATTTGTATCTAGCCTTTCATTTTGGGTTCCAAGCAGCTTTCAGGCAATAATTAAAACATTACAGATTAAAACCAAATAAAATAAATACCCAACCCCTGCGAACAGTGCCTGCTGTTCATATCCTGTGACACCCATATCTTGTCAAAAATCCTGGCAAAGCCTTACTGCACCATTGAAGATCTCCAACAAGGGGGCTCCCCTCCCCTTTTCAGGGAGTCTACAGTGGGAGCTGTGATGGAAAATGTCCAGGCTCTGATTGATGCCAGGCAGGCCACTGTAAGTGAGGGAACAGCTAGCAGATGGCAGCCTGAGGACCACAGTCATTGCACATGGATATTTGAGAGGAGAAAGTTCTTTAGATATGTGGGCCCCAGGCTGTGAAAGGCTTTAAAGGTCATAACCAACATTTTGAATTGAACTTGGGGGGGAAAGGTCAGCCAATGTAGCTTTTTTTCAAAATGGGCAGGATATATTCTCTTCACCAAAGCACAGAGGTAATCCTGGCTTTCCCACATCTCACTGGAGATGCTTCAGAATAGCCAAGGAGGAACCACCGGTGTGCCTGCAGGGAGCTCCCATTCAGTAACATTTGACTCCCATCATAGAGAGACGCTTGGCCTTGGAGCTTCCCAATCTTTTGTGATTGGCCTCTGCTCCTGTGGCACCATTTTGTGGTTGGACATTCTGCCCCATGGTGGCCATTTTGTGGAGGTGCCTGCAACCTGTTCTAAATTTCCACAGGCTGAACAAAGGTGGAGACTTGTGCCCTAATACTTTCAAGTAATAAAATGGGTAGGAAGTCTTTATGGACTAAGGTCAGAGTAGCAATTTCCAGGGCAGGCTTTGGAAAGCATAAGACAAGATGACTTGTGCTAATGAAATACAAATCAAGCACAATTCTATATTTCTTGAGCATGGTTGTGTTTCTTTTTCATTTTCGAGGACCAGCGTGGTATAGTGGTTAAGAGCAGCAGACTCTGATCTGGAGAACTGGGTTTGATTCCCCACTCCTCCACATGAAGCCTGCTGGGTGACTTTGGGGCAGTCACAGTTTCTCTCAGAACTCTCTCAGTCCCAACTACTTCACAAGGTGACTGTTGTGGGGAGAGGAAGGGAAGGTGATTGTAAGCTGCTTTGAGACTCCTTCAGGTAGAGAAAAGCAGGGTATAAAAACCAACCGTCTTCATCTATCGTGTGTGTTTTTCCTAGTCCTTTTTGCCTTGGTCACTGCTGCATCAAGAAGGCAGAAGGGAAGAAAACAGCTCTCCCTGTACATATCCGGACAAATATTTCCCACTGTAAATATCAGGGTGGAAAGTTACATGGCACAAGAGGGAAGGGGAGGAAGAGGAAAGCATGAATAGACACGGCCAGTTACGCCACTGTCATTTTACTGTTCTAGTAGTGATCGTTTCATATAACGTTTAATAAACCATTTATTGCCACATTTATTTTTCTCTTCTTTTAAGCTTAATAGGTAATGTAATATGTAAAACGTTGATAAAATAGATAAGGAATACCCAAAGGAGTTCCTTTTTTCAGATTCTCCTCTGTTGCAGGAACATCTGAACAGGCTGTTCCTGTTAGATTTTAACATTGTGCTTTCCTGAGCATTGTGGAAATTAAAAATATTTTGTAACTGGCTGTTTTGTTCTGTTTCATATTACGTCCATTTTTCTCCATAAAAACCTGAAGAAATGCCACAGAACTTGATCAAAGTTTTAACTTGGAGATGATGGAGTGGTGATTTTTTTTTTCTTACAGGTAAAACTGTGGCCAAGAAACTGACAAAAAAGGTAAGCAGCGTGCTCCTGCTATTTTTCAAAAGAGCTCTTGTTCTTTCTGCTACTTGTTTTAATGGATTCCTCTTTCACAACTGACTTGTATCTATTTGTTTGCTCAAAGGAGGCAGATGCTGCACTTGCAAATGTTGTGAAGGCTAAACCGGGGCCATCCTTTTTCAGAGACCTTGGAGATAAAGGTAACGATTTGCCTTAAGGGAATTTTGTTTAAGGAAAATTCTGTTCACTATCAGAGATGAGATTTCCAGATGTGAGAATTCGGCTTGATTCCCAGCTGCAAGAGATTAATTCCTTGCCTTAAGCTACTCTAGGTCTTTGTAACGGGCTGGGATGACAAATCTGAAAAAGGAAGGCTGTTGACAAATCTATAAGAATACCTGGCTAACAGCTATGGAGTCCTTAAGTCCTAAAGTGATTTTTGGAACTTAAGCTTTGAACTCATGGGATCAATCAGGCTTCCTAAACAAACTGTCGGTTTGGGATCCCATGAGGCTGACTTGCCTTCACAAAAAAATACTAAAGATCTGAGTGGGTTTTCATACTCCCAAAAGATGGCAGGAACTGCTGAGTTTGCTGTTCGTTTGATTTGATGTAAGAGGGCAATTGATTGCCCTGTGACATGCATACATTGCTGTATATACAAATGATAACTATGAGAATCTAGAAAAGGTTGCCAGATCCCACTAGGAAAGAGGATCAAATACCATAATAGTGTGTTGTAGGGAGAGGGTGTGGAAGAGAGGGTGGATGATATTCACCTGCACTAATGGTAGGAGATGATCCAGAACTACAACAGAGCATCTGTCTTAGGGAACTGTCAAACTAAACTCCAGAGCAATCACAGGTACACGCACACAAAGACACACACACACAGAATATACCCACTGTTTGCGTGACCACACTTAGCAGTCACGATTCATAAACATGTCCCGGCATCTTTTCCCTTTTGATTGTCCTCCTGATCTAAAGAGGAGGGAAATAAGATCCCATAGTAAATATAACCTGCCCTATGACCACGTGGGTAAGAGTAGAGAGAACATTCATTTGTGTCCTTGGCTTTTCTGATTCTGACTTTTATATGGTCCTAAGACTTGTATGAATCTGTGATCTTTGTATAGGCATAACATTTCCATATGATCTTTGATCATCTCCTGTTATCTTGATGAAACTCTGCTTTATGGAGCTACTTATCTGAAAGGTAGATACTGATTGCATGGAATCCCCTGGTTTCTTACAAGCATCGTTTTTCATCACTTTTTGATTTCAATTTGAGCTTGACCTTCACCAAGCCACTATATCTAATCTGTAGCTTCACTATGTAAAAGTTTGTAACTTTTTTAAAAACTGGAAATGTTTATCTGTAAGCCGTTAAAAGTAACCAATAGATCTTCGATGTGGTCTCTGTGCTTCACACCCATGGAATCTAGCGCACACGCAATGGATCGATCGGTGCTGTAGCAAGCTCTTTTAACGGATTTTCGTGCTCAGTCCCTCGGGCATGTGCAGGAACCCGACCGCGCATGCCCAGAGGGGTGGGCGTGGACATCCCACCAGTTCCTTTCTTACCGCCGCGTTGGAAAGACCTTTTTCTTCATTGGTCTGATTGGTTCGTGTGTTTTGGCTTTTTGCCTCACGGCTCTTTGGATTTTTCCCCCTCAGTTTATTCTTTTTCTTCATTGTTCTTTCAAAAACACTTTAAAAAAAACAAAACCTTTTATTTTCTGCTGAGGGGGAGGTTGCCGCTTTACCTCAGTCGGCCCTTCAGGCTACCCCCCCCCCTCAATTTTTCCTCTTCTTTGCTTCTTTTATGGAGAAGAAGTGGGGGGGGGTTCAACAGGTTCAAGGGTTGCGGCAGCAAACGTGCTCCTCCTGACCGTCATACCCTCAGCATTTTTTGCCTCAGAGAGTCTCACCCTTGCTCCGGTCTCAGCGATGGAGGAGAGACCGTCTACATCGACAGCTCTGGCATCGAGACCTGCCTCCGATGTCGACCGCCCAACGCCGAAGCTCCCAGCTTCGAAGGCACAATCATCCGCGTCCATGCCAGTCAAAAAGAAGGCTAAGGCAAGTAAGGATCATAAATCGCCGAAGAAGGGCACCTCCAAGTCCCTGAAGGTGGCGAAGAAGGGGAAGGAAGCGGTGTCTGCACTGGGTGATGCCCCTAAAGTGGCTCCCGCTCCAACAGCAGTATCGATATCAGAGGCCCAAATCCCTCCGTCGATACCGACCATCCAACTACTGGATTCCCCCATCCAACAAGTGGAGCGTCCGTACTCCGACATTGACACAGTGGAGCCCCTAAGTCACCAAATGGGTGCAGAGCTTTCCCCCTCTCCTTCGACTTCATCGGCATCGATGGTATCAGAGGCTCCCGATGTTGAAACACATCAGTACCGACACGCTTCTCGCAGCACGCAACGTCATCTTCCGCGTCTCAATGTTCAATCTGTCAATATCGACGACCGAGACTACAGGGACGGTTCTCACAGACAAGCTACTGCTTTGTCTCCCAGATGTCCACGGTCCAGAAGTCGATCCCCCCGAGTCTTCCTGCCCCCTCCACCACTGATATCGTGGGATCAACGACAGTTGAGGTACCTGTACGGGGCTTATACACCATCCATGCCATGGTTGACTCTGGCGGGCTATTCTGATTGGGATCGCTATTCGTCCCGCTCTGTTCATAGATCAAGGTCACCCCACAAATTGAGACCTTCGGCATCTCTGTCACGTCCTCATTCAGGTGATCATCATTCTCTGGAACCAAGTCAGCCTCTCAACCCTCCGGTCACTCCAAACCCTGTCGTCTCTGTCGTCCCAACTAAACCCATAACTTGTCAGCGGGACACATCGGTCCAAATACCACAACTAGACTCCTCTGACTTCATAGAAGAGGACTCAGATACAGAGGCATCTGAGGCTCATACCTCTTTTGACCATAAATCCCCCAACCAGGATGTCGCTGAGGACTTACCTGTATCCCCATCTGACAACCTTACGTCACACACAGATTTGGTCAAAAGAATGGCCCACTCTTTAGGCCTCTCTATTGTCCAGCAACATCCACAGGCAACAGATGCGGTTTATGATATAGTTCAGCTTGATACCTCTTCCACCTTGGCATTACCTATGTCTTCTGTCCTTCTGCAAGCGGCGAAGACATCATGGCTAAAACCTTCGTCTGCCCCTGTGTCCACGAGACGTCTGCCCCTGTGTCTTCGTCTGCCCCTGGACCACATGTACAGGATCCAAGAGGCAGATGCCGAATTCCTCTTCTCGCGCCCTCAGCCTAACTCGATGGTGATAACATCTTCCTCCAAATCCAAGTGGACTCATTCCGCACCTTCTGACAAGGAAGGTAAGAAATTAGATGCCTTTGGCAGGCGCTTCTACTCTACGGGGGTGTTAGGAGTCAAGGCCACTAATTACCTGGCCTGTATGAGCCGATATCAATATACTCTCTGGGAACGGATCTCAGAACTTCTCAGCCACCTCCAAGATGACAAACAGAGTCATACAAAAAGAAGGCATGGTGTTGGCAAAACAACAGCTCAACACTACTAAGCATGTCCTCGAGGCGTCTTCCAGAACTACGGCCTCTGCAATAGCTCTCAGGATACATTCCTGGCTCTGCAACACTAATCTGCCAATAGATACCAGATCTTATGTGGAAGACCTTCCCTTCAATGGCCTGGGGCTTTTCAATGCCACTACGGATTCTACTCTACGGGAGTTAGATAAAAGCATAAAGGCGTCTCGAGCTCTAAGAGTCTCATCCTCTGCAAGACAACCATATCGTCCACGCACCTGGTTGAGGTCCTGGCAGAGGTGTACCCCAACTCATCAGTCTCCAGAGACACGATGGAGACCAAGAACGTCTTCGGGAGGCCAAAAGCCCGCCTTCCAGAAACCAAAATTCGGTTCAGAACAACAAGCTTTCCACACTAAACAGTCCAAACCCTCCAAACAGGTTTTTTTGACTTCCCTGTCACCCAGTCAGCTCAAACCCATCTGTCACTTTTTCTTCAAAATTGGTGTCACATCACCTCGGACGAGTGGGTACTGTCCATATTGTCCCGAGGCTACAAAATTCAGTTCCACCAGAACCCCAATACTCCCATTGTCGTCTCCACGCCCCCTTCCCCACCTCTCCTTGAGGAGGTGTCCGTCCTTCTGTAAAAGGGAGCCATCGAACATGTACCACCACACCTCCAAGGGACAGGATTTTATTCCCGATACTTCACAGTCCCGAAGAGAGATGGAGGCGTTCGACCCATATTAGATCTAAGGGAACTGAATCGTTTTGTGACCTACCACCGCTTCCGCATGGTGTCCCTACAACAGATCATGCCATTGCTTCGCAGACATCTGGATGGCCACTCTCAACCTCCGAGATGCATATTTCCACCTTACTATCCACACCTTCCACTGCCAATGCCTACGCTTTGCGATTGGTCAACAGCACTACCAGTATACGGCTCTTCCATTCGGCCTGTCCAGCGCCCCAAGGGTCTTCACAAAGACTATGATTGTGGTTGCAGCTTTCCTCCATCTCTGGGGTATCTCCATCTACCCATATATAGATGATTGGCTTCTGGTAGCGCCTTCCAGGAACGCCCTGGTCTCCAATGTCACAGAGACTCTAGCACTATTGGAAAATCTGGGCCTGCGAGTCAATTGACAAAAGTCTCAATTGTATCCGGTCCAGCGAATGCAGTACATCGGCGCAATACTGGATTCAAGGACATGCATGGCTTACCTGCACCACGACAGGGCAGCAGATATCATTTCCTTAACCACCGTCGTCCGTACCCAACCCTCCGTCACTGCCTTCCAAATTCAGAGGCTACTGGGCCTGATTGCTGCAACTACGTTGGTTCTCGTCTTTGCCAGACTCAAAATGCGCCCTTTACAGCTCTGGTTTATCCACAACTACGACTTGTTGAAAAACGCACACACTGTCATCCTATCCCCTCTTCCCAGCATACAGGACTCATTACTTTGGTGGACTGTCCCTTCGAATATCCTCCAGGGAGCGCCCTTCCACCCTCCGTCACCCAAAGTCACCATAACGACGGATGCTTCCTTGACAGGATGGGGTGCACACTCCATGAGTCTTTCTGTTGAAGACAAATGGGACACGCAGATGAGGAGGCGACACATAAACTTCCTAGAACTG